TCATCCCAGAATTATACATCCGTTAAGCGTAGGCTTCGGATAATCATGCTCCTCATTATTCCTATATTTATCTTGTTATTGAGATGGGACCGGAAATTGAGTATTATCCCAGCATAGGATTTCTTTCTGAACAATTTCTGTTTGAGCGTCCCATTTGAGTGAATGCAGATGATGTTTTACTGGGAATATTTATTGAATCTCTGTAAACGACTAAATTTCTAAAATTAAACGCATACGAAAACTGCTCTGATCACCTCGTCTGGATTTTCATATATGTACTATATCTGTATTGCAATGCTGTTGAATCAAAAATAGGTGAAAGATGATGAACCGTTTAAATAAGTATTTAGGGGCAAAAAGATCAATCAGAAACAGCCGTCGGGTTGATAAATTGCTAGACAACTTGGCTAATATGGGACACCGAATAGGCTGGGGTGAGACAAATGAATCTCAAAACGATAGGCAGGGAACGTAAAATAAGATTAAGTATTCGCTAAACGGGAATGATAATGAAAATAAAATGACTCAGATGTGTGTTTTAGATTTAGCATATAGAATCGGTTACAAAAGAGGAGAATTGTGCTTAATGCCATGCATATAAATCAATTCAAAGGATATTAATAAGTACTATTAAAAGACAGCTGTTATAAAATAATTGTTAATCCGACTAGGGGGCTCAGAAACTGCCCGTGATCAAAGTTACTATGACCCAAACCACACAGGATTTGAATTAGAGATAAAACAAAATCCTACAAGCTATGAATAGAAGTAGAGTTTCAAAGAATCGATTGTAGATGGATACTGACATGCCTTTCATTTCGTTTGGAAAGACGGGTGGAAAAGATTCGTAAAATGGACTCACCATATATCGAAGGGGAATTGCTCTAGAGTTTTGTCTGTTGATTCGTGCGAAGAATACCTTGGTTAATCTTTCTACGACCCCAATGACTCTGTGCTGAGCTTTCCTTCGTCATGTGCTGGATGTCGGCAAATGCAGAAACCACTTTTCGCGAACAATCATCAAAGAACACTTAACTAAGAAAGTTGGCTAGCTGAGATCCTACTTCTCATGCTTCACCTTGCGATCGTAATAGAGCATTCCATGATTTACCTGACTACTTTATGCTTGTCATATGTGCATGTAAACGAGTGAAAGTGATGCAGGAATGGGAGCGGATGTGGTCACAACTTTTGCCTATGTACATAAATCAGCGTATAATCATGTAATCCTAGGGCTTGTTTTAGCTTCGTGGATGCATGTGCGTCGCCTGTATACAGCACTCACGAATTGGGTCCGGAACCAGACTCCTACTTGGTCAAGTCTTTTCTTACGCAGTGACTCTTCCTGTTTCCTCTCTTTCTCTCTTTTTCTCTCTCTCTTTATATATCCACGAAGCTAAGGCAAGCTCCGGGAATACAGGATTATGTGCTAGTTTATTTACATATACAAAAGCTGCGTTCACATCCTCTCTCCTTTCTGCATCTTTTCACTCGCTTACAGGCATGCAGGGCAAGCATAATGCAGTCAAATGAATTATGAAATTCCTCATTAAGATCGCAAAGCGAGGTACAAGAAGTAAATATAATATTAGCTGGCGACCTTAGGTATGGCTTTTTTGGATGCTTGTTCGTGAATACTGGTTTCTGACTCTGACGATGTCCGTCACATGCCGAGCGAAAGCTCAACACGAAGCCATCGGGGTCGTAGGACGGTGAGCCGATGTCTGCTTTGCACAATTCAACAGACAAAAGTCCAAGACAACCCTCCTTCAGTATCTGATGAGTCCAACTTACGAATACCTTCCACCCGCCTTCTCAAACGAAATGACAGGTATGCTAGTATCCTACAAGATAAGCGATGCATGGCGGAATAATGAAATAAGCTATTGTTCTAAACCATACGCTTTAAGAAAGTAGTTACTTGGATACGAGCAAACTTAGGTGAACGAGTAGTTTAGATAGGATCATTTAAATTTGATCGGAAACCGAAAGAATGTGCCTAATGTTGATGAGGCGTGAAGGCCTTAATTGAGAAAAGTTTTGCAAAAAGCATTCTTCAGATTCCCATTCGAAGTTCAAAATCTTTTGTATCAAATAGATTCATTTATGTCCTCAAGTTGCTTGGAAATCTGGCCGCTTCCAGGCGGCTCTTCATCATAAGGACCCAACTTACAGCCTAAGGACAGGGTTCTACTAGCACTACATTTAAGTGTGGTTTACTTGCTTCTGATTATATCACTTTCTTGATGCATGGTACAGTGAAATTCTTGGATAGGGTAAAGAATTTACTCCACTTCTTTGTTTACACATTAATTGACACTCCCTCAAGAACATTCGTCTTGTGACTCAAGGGCACTCTTGGCGGTCTGGCGTAGTGATTAATGTGTCGACATTATATACTGCCCTACCACAACTCGAGTTCGAGTCCCGCTGAGGATACTGATTAGACGAGTCTAGACAAGGTATAAACTGCATTCTACTTCAGTTCTGATGAGAATACTTTTTTGGAAGTAATGCTTTGCGAACTTAACTCGAAACGTAGGGATTACTCTTATAATTGTGAAAAAATTCAACTTTCAGTCCTTCATAACTTTATGTGATATAGGGTGACTACAACTGCTATTTAAGATCTACTGATAGCCTCAAAAACTACTTATTGTGAATATAACCAACTACATACGTTTCTATTCACCTAAGAACATATACTCCTCTTGTTTTGTTAACCTTTCTTTTCCTATTTTTTTACATATGGAAATTTGCTTATTGCATTTTTATTATACACATTTTTCAATTACTTTAATTGGCAAATCTCGATTGTGACAAAATCTAATTGAAATATTTGTCTTGCATAGTGACAAAATTGTAGTTATTTGACTACATTTTTTCATAAATCCTTGGATCATGATCCTGCGCATTATAAATTGTAGCTACTGCGACAGGGAATTATCTAGGTAATTTACAACTGTTTATAAATTAAACTTGGCATCATACTACTATTTTATGGTATCTTTAGTCTTGCTTAAGGTGCAGCAAGTCCGCCATCAGTAGAATGAGGAAGAACAACACCAAACAGTTTGGAGATGCCAATTGGTTATAGGAAGAGAGTTTAACAGGCTCGATGTCTGTAAAAGTTCACAGTTTGACAATGTTCTTGTCTTGCTTAGTGTGACTGTTATTTATTACTTTTTATAGGCTTGAAATAAGCAATATTGAATCATCGAAGGTAGGAAGACCAAGATGGTGTGGCTTTTTGTGTGGTCACAGTCCCCTTTCGTTATATAGAAGTTATTTGACCTTGTTTTCGCAACTTGGTCACATTGGTAGGAAGAATTAGTGGAACGCACCTAGTCCGGAGTCCATTGGATGCATGACCATTTACAAAATTGGAATGGTTTTCATGAATGCCGCTCGAAGGAACACACCACACTACATCGAAATAAGCATGGTAAAAACTTTCACAGTCAAGGCGTGATAAGAGGATATAGGAAATGTGAATAGCCCAGGGCAGAAGGGTAGATACCACAACTGTTTGGCACACGTTTGGTCAAATGATGGGCTTCACTTGTCTCTTTGACGAGCTGTACTGTGGTGCTACGAATGGCGAGACGAACTGACGATGCCGACTACGATGCCGACTACGATGCCGGCGAAACGTCTGGGAAAGTACCACGTCCACGGTCTGATTTTGGAAATGAGCATGCATACAATGGACTCCGAACTAGGTGTGTTCCTCTAAGTCTTCCTAAAAATCTGGCCAAGTTGCGAAAACAAGGTCAAACAACTTCAATATTGTATCATGTTTTCTCAGAGTGTCTTTAAATTCATTTGGCTTCTTCCATAAGACTCCATTTTAATATTTGGCAATTTGCATATCTCATCATAGCGACTCTTGCTTGGACATGTGCCAAGTCGCAAAACTGTCAAATTGATCGATTTTGGGGATTACGGTATATTTATTAAAATCTAGTGTGGTCATGTGGTCCTAAATTGGCCCTGATTACTTTATTTCCTTATTACTTTTCGCAGACTTGCCGTCTTTTTATGGTTCGTGGGGAACGGCTCACTGAGGGCCATCTCTTAGAGTTACCTGCTCTCCTTTCTTCGCTGCGCACTCGCGGATCATTCTGTCTGGTAGTTTATTCTGCAGTCCCATTAAATGATCCCGAGAGTAGCGATTTGACCTCATCTTCTGTTTCACCATGTGATCCTGGCGCTAAAAGCGGTTGTGGTGATAGTTTTGCTGGCGGCAATGTCAAACTTGATTATGCTGAGCCCTCTCCATCAGGCTCTTGTTCCGACTGTATTCAGCCAATTAAGCGGGTCTGGCTCTGGCATGGGCGGCTATCTCCTCTTGTCAGCCAGAATGTTGGAAGATTCATTCTCAACCAGTTAACTGCTTGGTGAGTACTCTGCCGAATTGATCCTCTTGCCTATACTTTTACCACTAGTTACATCTAGAGGCGTAGTGATAAGATAAAGTGTACTCCTTAATCTATTCCCTAATCTCCCTATTTTTCATAGACTCAATCGATTTGCATTATAGAGGTAAATTAGATTGACCGAGGCTAATGAAATATTGGCGCCATACTAAAATGGCAAGGAATCATTGAGCTTTCGACTCACATTTGGCCTTGAGCTCTCTAGCCCTTGGGAAGTTACTTCGAACCTTAAAAATGTGATTTGAGATAATCGGCATCGAATCCAAATTTTGGGCAAACTGATATCTTCGCCATTTTAAAATAAATTATTTTAATTACTTACTGTTTTAGAATGGCCTTAATATATTTGTAAAATATCTAATAACAAAATCTTGGGATAATGCATCAAATATTCACCACAAGAATATCTTAACCCAAACGGCTAATTGGTTCGCCTCAAAGTTTGATCCTAAGAGAATCGTCACTTCCAACCTTGCTATATGTATAAATATGATTTTAAGTCTGGAATTATCCTGACTTTTTTACTAACTGATTTGCAGTAAAAGCTATATTCAGCTTATGCTTCAGGTGAATTCCACATGAACTTGCTTCTTAAAAGGTATTCGAATCCAAGCAGGAATGGACCGCAGTTTCGACTTCGCCTAGGTCTCGTCACCATCCCCAGCGGGACTTGACATCGGGTAGTGCGGCGTATAGTCTTAACACGTAGAC